TGGCTCCGGGGCCGGGGTATTGTTGCAGTGGGGCAGCTGCTGGGAGAGAATAGACAATAGAGCAGCTGTCTTGCACTGGCACCCTGCACACCAGCTGTCCACTCTTATCTGCACACACACTTTCGGGGGATATTAAGAGGTGGAGCTGTGTGCATAGAATTGGAAAAAAGGACTTCTGACCCTCACTGGGGAGGGAAGGGGGGTGAGGGGCTGTGGGGAAGGGAGCAATTGTGAGCCCTCTTTTGTCTGTGTGCAACTGTATTAAGAAGAATGCTCATCCCCGGCGATAAGTAAAGTTCCCAGTTACGGGGCGAGATCAATACTCCTGCAGACTCCAGAGATTAACTCAGCTGCGCTTAACTGCCCTGACCTAGTAAAAGGGGTTTGCTCCCCACCCGCAAGGTGCTCTCAGGATCGGACTTGTGAAAGGTGGGAGGTGTTCAGCCTCGGTGCTCATGTCTCTCCCTGCTTGGTTTGTTTACAGCGATTTGTTTGCCTGGATGCGATGAACAACACGGCTTTTGCGACAAACCTGGGGAATGCAAGTAAGTTTTCCACCCCCCTCCTGCTCCCTTCTTTGTCTTTAACGTTGATGCTCTAGAGTTAAGTAAGGCATTGCTCATCTGAAGGGTCCGTTTAAATGCCTTTCTTCATATTAGATGGTAATTTGAGAAATCCAGGTGATGCCGGATCAAAGTATTAATCTACAAGTCAAACATCAGTGCCATTAATATTAACCTAATGAGTTTACAGTGCTGTGTGTAAGGTTTAGCTGTTTGTTATTAGAGTAAACACATTAACTACCTGGAACCATGGCTCTGTCTAAGGAAGTGGAAGAAATAGCTGGGACTGATGAAAGCTGATGCTGCAGTTGGACTCGGTGACTTTCTCACATGAAGGATCACTGAGGGCTTTTAGGAAACTTGATCTCTGGCATCAGTGTGTTTGCAGAGTTTGTGATAGAGTTTCCAACTGTGAGAAGTCTAAATCTGACGAGACTTTGTTGGTTTTTTTTGTTTTGTTTTGTTTTGTTTTTTTTCCAGATGCAGAGTGGGTTGGCAGGGGCGATATTGTGATGAGTGCATCCGATACCCTGGCTGCCTTCATGGTACCTGTCAGCAGCCGTGGCAGTGCAACTGCCAGGAAGGCTGGGGTGGCCTTTTCTGTAACCAGGGTGAGTTCTCAGTCCTTGCCTGAGCATCTGTTTTAAAACACAGAAAGCAATGGCCATTTCCAGCTCACCCACCCTGTGCTCGCCTTGCAAAGTGGCAAGTATCTTGACTGCCCTCTTTTAAAAAAAAATCTTTTACAGACCTGAACTACTGCACCCACCACAAGCCCTGCAAGAACGGTGCCACGTGCACCAACACTGGTCAGGGGAGCTACACTTGTTCTTGCCGACCTGGGTACACAGGCTCCAACTGTGAGATTGAAATCAATGAATGTGACGCCAACCCTTGCAAGAATGGTGGAAGCTGCACTGTAAGTCTGAGTTGCTTGTGTCATCTGAAACTCCAAGGGAGGAGTTTCACTGATTTTCAAAATCTGTTTTTTGATTTCAAAGTGACTTCCCGTAAATATTTTGACCATTTCTCATTTTTTTTCCCTCCAGGATCTTGAGAACAGCTATTCCTGTACTTGCCCCCCGGGCTTCTATGGTAAAAACTGTGAGCTGAGCGCAATGACTTGTGCTGATGGACCATGCTTCAATGGTGGGCGATGCACCGACAACCCCAATGGGGGATACAGCTGCCGCTGCCCACTGGGTTATTCTGGGTTCAACTGTGAAAAGAAAATTGATTACTGCAGTTCCAGCCCTTGTGCTAATGGTAAGGCCAAACATGCTACTGTGAGCTTCTAAAAGCAGACCATCTAGTTACTTTGGCTTCTGGTCTGGAGTTCATAGCAAGGCCCACTGATCAGTCATGGTCCATGTCATATCAATAGTTGACGTGATGGAGTAACTGTACTGAAAAAGTAATGATGTGGTTTGGGCCACTGCTGCAGGTTGCATTTTCTGAAGGGGTGACTGGGCCAGGTACCTTGGCCTGAAGCTTCATGCATAAAAATGTGGAGGGTTGTACTTGCAAATGTTTTGCAAAGGCTCTTTGAGGTCTGTGGATGCAAAATGCCATACAAGTGCTAAATATTATTACTTGTAATCTAGTAACAGTAATCTTCCTGTTTTGATTAAACTAGTGAAGACTTTCTTTACTGCAGTCCTCATTCATTGCCACTCAAACTGTGTAACATGAGATTGTGGTGTTAACCTGATCTGGATTGTCTTTGTTGTCCAAGCTGAGTGAAATGTTAGGAAGGGAATATGATGGAGAATGAAAAATAGATCAGATTAACAAATATCTTCCTTAAAAAAAACCCCTTGCTTTTTTTGATGGATCAGACTTGGCAAAGGTTGAGCTAATCTCTCAAAAAGAAAGCTTTTCCCAGCTGCCGGTTGTGACAGTCACCCTGAGAGCAGCAGGTGGGAGGCTTTTGGGACTGGCTGCCCACCACTCAGCGCTCGTCCCCCTTGATGTCTTGCAGGAGCCCAGTGCGTCGATCTGGGGAACTCCTACATATGTCAGTGCCAGGCTGGCTTCACTGGGAGGCACTGTGATGACAACGTGGACGACTGCGCCTCCTTTCCCTGTGTCAACGGAGCGACCTGCCAGGATGGAGTCAATGACTATTCCTGCACCTGCCCCCCAGGTTACAACGGGAAGAACTGCAGCACCCCAGTGAGCAGATGCGAACACAGCCCCTGCCACAACGGGGCCACCTGCCACGAGAGAAACAACCGCTATGTCTGTGAGTGCGCTCGGGGCTACGGTGGCCTCAACTGCCAATTTTTGCTCCCCGAGCCACCTCAGGGACCGGTCATTGTCGACTTCACCGAGAAGTACACGGAAGGCCAGAATGCCCAGTTTCCCTGGATCGCCGTCTGTGCTGGGATTATTCTGGTCCTCATGCTGCTGCTGGGGTGCGCTGCTGTGGTTGTCTGCGTCAGGCTCAGAGTGCAGAAGAGGCACCACCAGCCTGATGCTTGCAGGAGCGAGACTGAGACCATGAACAACCTGGCCAACTGCCAGCGCGAGAAGGACATTTCCATAAGTGTCATTGGTGCCACTCAGATTAAAAATACAAATAAGAAAGTAGACTTTCACAGCGATAACTCTGACAAAAATGGCTACAAAGTCAGATACCCATCAGTGGATTACAATTTGGTGCATGAACTCAAGAACGAGGACTCTGTTAAAGAGGAGCACAGCAAATGTGAAGCCAAGTGTGAAACGTATGATTCAGAGGCAGAGGAGAAAAGTGCAGTACAACTAAAGAGGTATCTCTCACATCTGAGGGGGGGGGGGGGCAGCTTGGCTCTGAAGGGGGTGTGTGTGTCTCATAGGTAGCGTTGAGCAACAGCCATCTGACCTGTGTTGTCTCTTTTTATCTTCAATAGTGATACTTCTGAAAGGAAACGACCAGATTCCGTATATTCCACTTCAAAGGACACAAAGTACCAGTCGGTGTATGTCATATCAGAAGAGAAAGACGAGTGCATCATAGCAACTGAGGTTAGTATACTGCCTGGCAGCTGGAACAGCAGAGTAGTCTCGGTGTGCGACCCTCATCTAACACGTGTCGGGGCAGCTAACGTCTTTTCCATGGGGCCACAACGATTTGTACGTGTTGAAATCTAGCTAGCTCAAGTTTGTCGTGCTGTGTATGTTGTAAAGACAAGCTAAGTGACTTGCTGCTGTGGATGTTATGGTACAACGACTTCTGCAGACAAGGGTACAATAACGGTGTGGTTGTGTTTTGCTGACCTGCCCCTTAGTGTGCTTCATGCCGAGTCCCTTCTTGCCCGGCGTAAAGACAGAGAGTCCCAACCCTCTGCAGCCTTACAGCCCTCTTCTTACTTTCCATTAGCCTCTTCTGATCTCTGCTCGTGTTTTCTCTCACCAGGTGTAAACCAGAGGCGATATGGCAAAGTGGTTGTTCAGAACAATTTCAGAGGAGACGTGCCCCGATGAATGCTGCTGAAAAGAGGAATGGGAGATAGATTCCTTCACTGACTGCTGCTGAGAAACTAAATTCAGGCTTGAGCTGGTTCTCTACTGAAGTTAGCAAAGTGACTGCAAAATAAAGAAACAAGATGGACACCAGGCAAGGGTCTGTGTTCAAGGATTACTGTTGCACTGCCTTTTATGAATTTTATCATTGCACTATGGTCAGTTGCTTTTCTATATATATTTAAATGAATGGACTTAATTACTACATAAGAAGCATGCACTGCCTGAAGTGTATATTTTGGATTCTTATGAGCCAGTCTTTTCTTGAATTAGAGACACAAACACTGCCTTTATTGTCTTTTTTGATACTAAAATGTGTTTTTACTAGATGAGAAAAGTGTGTTATTTTTTTGAATCTGTAAAAATATTTTCATGATAATTGTAAAGTTTGAGTATTTTGTGATGTTCATTTTTTTATAATTTAAATTTTTTGGTAAATATGTACAAAGGCACTTCGGGTCTATGTGACTATATTTTTTTGTATATAAATGTATTTATGGAATATTGTGCAAATGTTATTTGAGTTTTTTTTACCATTTTGTTAATGAAGAAATTCATTTTTAAAATATTTTTCCAAAATAAATATTATTAATGATAACCAGAGTGCTATGTTCATTCCATAACTGATGATGACCTGACTGAACCTTGCAGCCAGGCATCTGACAGGCTTCTATGGACTCATGTGTGGATGGAGTAGGAGCGAGACCTGTCACAAAGGCTGGGGAACAACTTGTTCTGTGTAGACCCTTGCTCTTTTCCCTCCTAACCTTCTGAACTGTTGACCCCACGGTTGTGGTCTCTCTTACCCCAAAGGCAAATGTCTGTCAAAACCTTGAGTAATGTTTGCTCAGTCACGTTGAGCTGTGTATATTATAAACATATTCAGCATCACTTCCCGAGGAAGAGCAATGTGAGTGCACTCTGTCACAATCCAGACGTGGGGCTTATTGTGACTCAGCTCTTAATTTCTTGCAACCTCAAGCACTTGCCTGGAGCCCAGGGGAGTTTGGGACACACAGGACATGCTGGCAAGGGTCCCCCGGCTCAGGTCCTTAGTGTGCACCCATGGGATGTGAGCTTCCTCCCGTTACACCTGATGGCAGGTAGCACTTCCCTCCCCAGGAAAGGGTGACACCAAATTGGTGGACAGCCACGCTCTCCTGGCTGTGATACCTGTCTGAAGTATGACTTGCATCTTTGGTTTCCACTCTGCCCCTGTAACCTGCTGCCTTTATATTAGGGCAGGGTGTGATCCCATCCCCTAGCTTGGCCCCAAATGCTCAGGCAATTTCTCCAATTTGGTTTGCCCTAACTAGCCCTCCTTCAGGTTGTGCTGCATGTTAATTAGCAGTAGCACTTCAGAAACAGGCAAAGTATTCTTCCACTTCAGGAAAAAAAGGAAAATCTAGGAAATAATTTCCTTTTTGCTCCATTAAATTTGAGCCTCTATCATTGTAGACCACATCCCGCAGCTCTGGGGAGCTGATGAAAATCCTCTGTTCCCATTCACTTCAGAGGAGTGGGATGCTATCTTAAACACAAAGAGTGAGATAGCAGATAAATCAATAGGATTATGACTGTAAAATACATATGTGCTCCCCTTGTGTTAGTGTACATAAGTAAATGAACCACTGGAACTGTACTATGATGTGAAGTCCCTGTAAAACTCTTACTGACTGCAGAGGCTTGTCCATCTCTAAGGCCTTCTTGCTAAGTCAAACCTTAGACAAGATCTACTGACTCATCTCATGAACTGACCCAACAGGGTCATCCTCTTCATTCATCCCAAAGTGTCTTTTTAGGGAAAGTTTTTGTGAGCAGAGTGATGTGGGGTGTTAAAAACCAACCTCTTAGCAATGGTCTGAATACCTTTTTCAATCTGAGCAGTAACATAACAACCTGCCAATAACCAGTCAATGCATCATATATTAAATGTGGCATGACGATGCATATGGCAGAAGGTGTTCAGAGCAACATAATCTCACAAGTTGGACAAACAAGTGAGCCTTGGTAGGTTTTATTGCTATCTCTTTTGCTGATTTGCTCTTCAACCTTAGGCAAACCACTTTATTTCTCTCTGTTTCTTCCCAAGATTTTTGGAGCAGGCTTGTCTCATGGTGAACTGCACTTTGCGCAGTCAGTGCCAAGGTTTCAGCTGGGCCCTCTTAATACTGCCTCTGTAGAAATAGCAGTAACAAAGGGAAGGTCATTGATGGCTGAGTGCCTCTATAACGTCAGCTCTTTAGTGCTACAGCAAGTACTACTTTAATGTGGTGTCAGGTAAAGGCCTGGAGAAGCACACAACTCCTTGCTCTTGTAAAGAGGGACAGCATCATCACCTACCTAACTTCGCTTAAAAATAAAGCAGCTTTGGAAAGCTCATTTTGTCCGTACCAGTAGTGCTGAGCTCACTGAGAAAAGTAAAACATACCGTGGTGAAGAGAAGGGTGTGGTCTTGTCCTTCTAAAGCATCTTCTGAAATGATGGCTACACAGATGAGCCCAGTGACTTCTTCCATTTCTGTCTTGTGCAGGGTTGGGGCTACTGCCATGTGCAGGATTTATTTCTTGTACGGGATTACTAAATCTCCCATACCTGGGTGTGTGCATATATAGGAGCTCTCCGTGACCAGAGCAGGTTGAGGTGTGCAGTGTGGAGCACTGGATCCATGCTCCTCATCTTTAGAACCTGGGCCTTTCTGGGGAAAAAAATGGATGATCTGGGCAGGAGGTGGAAGTCGTGCTTGTGTTTGCTTAAGAGAGAGGGTGGCATGAGCAGGCACTGAGCTGTGTGTGCGGGTGGTGGACGCTGCGGGCAAGGGGTAGGGAAGGTGCCTGCCTGCCTCAGCCCTGCCAGAGCAGCTCTCCCCTCTAGGACGGGAGCTCTGCTGCCAAAAAGTGGCAGGAACCTCCCTGTCAGCAGGGTCTCTGAAAGGCCTCCTCGTTCTAAAAAGAGAGGAGAGCCTGCCTGGGAAGGCCGTTTAGCTGGGACAGCTGAGAATTCAAGGCCTGATCCAAAGCCTGTTAAATTAATGGAAAGGTTCCAACGAGCTGCAGGGACACGTGGCACCGTGCCCCTCCTGACACAGCACATCTCCGGTTCTCCTCGAGGAAACTGCACGTACCGATGCAGAGTGTGTCCCCACAGGAGGGGACATAAAAGCCCATGGCTAGTCTAGCTGGCTCATCCTCCCAGTGCCAGCCCATGTGCTGTGCCAGGACCGTGGGGGCCTGGGGTCCCTCCTCAGGCTGCTGCTGTGGCACTGTCCCTTCATGCCCCCACCTCAACCTGCAACATCTCCTCCCTTCTTCCCTGCAGTGGCCAAGGAGGGCTTGGCCTCGTTTGGTGCCAGGTCTCAACAGGGTGGCTGGGGAGGGCACCCCTCAGCCCATGCCTCTGCCTGCAAACCTGTTTCTTAGTGGCAGGTGACAAAGTATTTTGGAGAGTTGGCTTGGTAGGACATGTCAGGAACTAGGAGGCATGGAAACAGTAGGAGAGGTTAGCTGCAGGGAGGTATTAGTTGCCCTGTTTGTGAAAGGGGACTTTTAAAGTGAGGGAGGTATTAGTTGCCCTGTTTGTGAAAGAGGACTTTTAAAGTGAGGTGTTGTGATAGTTTCACTGGGCCAGCCCTTGGCTAGCAGCCAACACAGCCGTTCACTCACTTCACCCTCACACCCAGGGGATAGGGAAGAGGACTGAGGGGCAAGGATAAGTAGACTCCTAGGTTGAGATAAGAACAGTTTAATAATAGAAATAAAAGAAAACTTAAGATAATAGTAATATTAAAATACTAGTGATAATGACAACAAAATATGAAAACGAGTGATACCCAGTGCAACTGCTCACCACCCGCCGACCAAGCCCGGCCCGTTCCCAGATAATGATCCCAGAGGAGCGACAATCCCGAACTGAAACCGCAATCCTGGAAGAGCGAGAGCCCCAGCGAAAGCCAGAGAGAGCTGAAAGAGGAAGAGACCCTCACTAATATACTGGACATGACGTGCTATGATATGGAATATCCCACTGGCATATCCAAACACCAGTTTAGCTTATTAATTTAAATATTCCTCAACCCCTTAGATCTTATGCTTGTAGACTAACAGAACACAAAGTCCTTCACTTCCAGCGACAAAAATGAACACACTGGTACGTTCTGTTATCAGTGTTTCTCTCATAACAAATCCCAGGCTGAAAGCAAAACGCAGCACTATTCTAGCTACTGAAAAAGAAACCTGGCTATGTCCCAGCTAAAAACCAGGACAGGTGTGTCACAGCTTTTGAAACATAGGAAGCTTTGGGTTCAGACTGCATGTCTTAGGTTTAGTGGCAACACATAAGTTTATAAATTGCTTTAAATTGATATTTGTGCTTACTTTGTACATAGTACGGGAGGACTGCTTTGGGCTCCAGGAAACTTGGGTACTATTCCTGGCTCCACCACAGACCTGCTCTATAACCTTGGGAGAGGAAGGATGGTCCTGTGGTCAAGGCGCTGCGGAGAGACTCGGGAGGGCCCCCTTCTATTTCCAGTGCTCCCTCCAGACTTCCTGTGCAACCTTGGACCTGTGTCACTTAATCTTTCCAGGACCTTAGGAAAATGGGGGCCTCCTGGTTGAGCTAATAGGGGGAAGGTCATTTGTGTTTGTGAGAGAATACCGCGGTGGTGGGGACAGTTAAAATACCCTCCAAGGCGAGTAAGGCTATTTCCTATCTCTGCATGTCACATTGCTTGTCTGCAAGGTGGAGAGCTATTTTTGCAAAGTGCTTTCAGATGCTTGCATGGAATAAAGACCCCTATCACAACTGAACCATCCATCATCTCAGAAAGGATATGCAAACCCTGTGTTGGCAGCAAGGAGACAAACTGGCGGGGTGGGAGGGAGGCAGCTGCACTGGTGTGAGTGTGTGTGTAGTGTGTGCAGGGATGATGTGATGCAGCTGTATGCCCAGTGCCCAGAAAGGATGCCACACATGGCAGTGTTAATGTGGGGGGCCACAGTGCCATCAGCCCCCTCTCACAGGTCAGCACCTGCAATCAAGGTCCATAGCTGGCTCTCTGCTGTAGCCAGCTCTCTTCCAGCAAAACCAATTTGCAGGTGGAGATACAGATTAAGTTCCACTTGGGAGTATGAGGGACAAGGAGGAAAGCTGCAGAAATGATACAGGTGGGAATTCATAGAATAATTTTGGTTGGAAAAAGCCTTAAATGTCATCAAATCCAACTGTAAACCTAACACTGCAGAGACCACCACTAAACCACGTCCCTAAGTGCCACATCTACTTGTCTTTTAAATGCCTCCAGAGACGGTGACTCAACCACTTCCCTGGGCAGCCTGTTCCGGTTCTCCAATGACAGACCATGAAAAACCTCCCTATTGTTATGGCCTAATATCCAAAGTCATATATTTCAAAGAAAATGACCTGAGGACTACTTCTAGGCCAAATCCCAAACTGAGTAGCAAACTCTCATGATGCCTGGTATCTACTTGTGTCAGATGGATGAGGAGCCTCTCTGTTCCCTCCCCTCCCTAGGAGTCGCTTTTTTCACCTGCCTGGCTTTCTGCCTGTGTCT